AATATAAATAAATAAAGTGAAAATAGTATGCTTTGATCTGCATTCAGATTTCATCTGTTCTTTCTCTGAATATGGATAGCATTTTCCATCTTGAGTCCTTTGGAATTGTCTTGGATCATTGTATTACTGAGAATAGCTAAGTCATTCACAATGTTGCTATTACTGTGTACAATGTTCTCCTGGTTCTGCTCATTTTACTTTGCATCTATTCATGTAAGTCTTTCTGGGTTTTTCTGAAATCCACCAGCTCATTCTTTCACTCTTTTAAAAAATTATTAATTAATTTATTTTTAGTTTTCAACATTCACTTCTACGAGATTTTAAGTTCCAAATTTTCTCTCCATCTCGTCCCTCCTCCCACCCCAAGATGGCATGCATTCTGAATATCCCTTCCCCTAATTTTCCCTCCCTTCTATCTCCCCCTCTCCCTTCTCTTATCCCTGTCCTCTTCAGTTTTCCTGTAGGGCAGGATAGATTTCTGTACCTCATTTCCTGTATATCTTATTTCCCAGTTGCATGTGAAAACAATTTTTTTAGTATTTGTTTTTAAAACTTTGGGTTCCAAATTTTCTCCCTTCCTCCCTCCTCACCCACCCTCACTGAGAAGGCCAGCAATTCGATACAGGTTTTACATGTGTAGTCATGCCAAACACTTCTGTAGTAGTCATGTTGTGAAAAATTAACTATATTTCTCTTAATCCTATCCTGCCCTCCCCATTTATTCTATTCTCTCTTTTGACCCTGTCCTTCCTTAGAAATGTTTGCTTCTGATTACCGCCTCCCCCAGTCTGCCCTCCACTCTATCATTCCTCTGCTCTGTTGTCCCCTACCCCTCCTATTTTCCTGTAGGGTAAGAGAGCTTTCCATACCTAATTGAGTGTGTATGTTATTCCCTCCTTAAGCCAAATCCAGTGAGAATAAGATTCACTCATTCCCTCTCACCTTCCCCCATTTCCCTTCCACTGTAAAAGCCTTTTCTTGTCTGTTTTATGTGAGATAATTTACCCCATTCTACCTCTCCCTTTCTCCTTCTCTCAGTATAATCCTCTCTCACCCCTTAATTTTATTCTCCACATTTCACCCCTTCATCTTCAACTCACTCTGTGCCATCTATCTCTCTATCTATCGATCTATCTATCTATCTATAAATATACATACATATACTTTTTTTTCCCTCCCACTACCCTAATACTGACAAAGGTCTCATGAGTTACAAATATCATCTTTCCATGCAGGAATGTAAACATTTCAACCTTAATAAGTCCCTTATGACTTCTCTTTCCTGTTTATCTCTTCATGTTTCTCTTGAGTCTTGTATTAGAAAGTCAAATTTTCTATTCAGCTCTGGTCTTCTCATCAACAATTCTTGAAAGTACTCTATTTCACTGAATGTCCATTTTTCCCCCTGAAGGATTATACTCAGTTTTGCTGGGTAGGTGATTCTTGGATTAATTCCATTTCCTTTGCCCTCCAAAATATTATATTCCAAGCCCTGTGGTCCCTTAATGTAGAAGCTGCTAAATCTTGTGTTATACTGATTGTGTTTCCCCAATATTTAAATTGTTTCTTTCTGGCTACTTGAAATATTTTCTTCTTGACCTGGGAACTCTGGAATTTGGCTACAATTTTCCTAGGAGTTTTCCTTTGGGGATCTCTATCAGAAAGTGATTGGTGGATTCTTTCAATTTCTATTTTGCCTTTAAAATTTTATTTTCAATTCATGGAACAAAACAAGTATTTCTATAACACAGTACAATAAAAAAGATGATCACACATGAAACTGCAAATCTGCCATGTACAACTTGCTATTCCTTCCAAATACTAAAGAAAGTTATCATGTAAATTCCTTTTTTTCTTTTTTCTTCCCCCCACCTTAGAGATGGCTACCATTGGACACAAATAAGTGTGTGTGTGTGTGTGTGTGTGTGTGTGTATGTATGTATGTATGTATGTAAAATTATTCTACACATACTTCTATTTATCATTTCTTTCTCTGGATGCAGATAGTGTCTTTCCTCATATGCCCTTTATTTATTAGCTCAAAGTCATTCTTAAAGCAATATTGCTGTTATTGTATATGATATTCTCTTGGTTCTGCTCACTTCACTCTTCATCACATCATGCAAGTCTTTCTATGCCTTTCTAAGATCACTGAGCTCATTATTTCTTACAGCACAGTAGTACTCCATCACAACCATACTCTGTAACTTATTCAGTTATTTTTAATAACACAACAGTATTCCATTACTTTCAAATCCTACCACTTGATCAGCAATTCCCTAACTAATGGATATCAGTGGGGTATATTCTTGCCGGGCCCTTTACTTTCTCTCTCTCTCTCTCTCTCTCTCTCTCTCTCTCTCTCTCTCTCTCTCTCTCTCTCTCTCTCTCTCTCTCTTTTTTGGTGAGGCAATTGGGGATAAGTGACTTGCCCAGGGTTACACAGCTAATAAGTGTCAAGTGTCTGAGGCCAGATTTGAACTCAGGTCCTCCTGATTCCAAGGCCAGAGCTCTTTCCACTGCGCCAACTACCTGCCCCTTGCCCTGTACTTTATTCCTTGTCCTTTTACTCTCCCAGTCCCTATCTTCCATCCTGTACCCAAATCTTTTGGATTAAGGCATTCTATATAATCAATTTAAAATATGTTTTTGAAAGGGATATTAAACAGAGTTGTTAACAACTTAGTGTTAATAATTTAACAAATATGAAAGTATTGATTGCCTACTGAGAATAGCCAGCATTTATGTAGTAGTAATATAACTTAAAGAATATTAGATTAGTTATAAGGAGGAGGGAGCTCACCTGGACTCTGAAGGACCAAGTTATTTAATTTGGATAGGGATAGGGCAGGGGGGCAGCATTCTAAGTGAGAGGACTCAGAACATAAAGATTTGGCATTTCTCAGTGTGGCATATTCAGGGAACCATGAAGATATGGTTCCGCCCATCCTGGCTGGGGTGGAGAATTGAGGAGAAAGTGAGAGATGAGATTAGAGGAGTTGGGATGAAACTAGATTGTAGAGGCTAGGGGGCTTAGAAAGTGTAGAAACCATGCCATGAGAAATGGTAAGAGGGTTTGGGAATGTTTAGTCTGGAAAAATATAAGCTTAGGCTGGGAGTGAGGGGGCTATGATTGTTATCTTCAAATATGTGAAAAACTGTCATGTGAAAAATGAAATTCACATATTTTGTGGAACTGCCAGATGGCAGAAATAGGACCAGTAGGTGGAAGCTACAGGGAGTCATATTTGGGCTTCAGAAAATGAAAGACTTTTCAAAAATAAGAGCCTTTCCAAAAATAGAATGGCTCACCATTGAGGGGGTGAGCTCCCTGTCACTGCAGAGGGGGTTGAAGTTGTAGAAGGCTGTTCCAAGATTAAAGGTAGCTTTATATAGTTAAATGGCAGAGGAGGAGTCAATGGAAAGGAAAAGACTGAAGATTCAAGAAAGAGGGAAGGAAGGACAGGGGATATATGCAAGAGAGCAATATCCCTACAGAGTGATCAAAAATGAGGTTGAATAAATCAAAAAATTAATGAGGTCTGGAGAAGTAGAGTTTAGCTTTAAAAAGAAGTCTTTTGGGACATGTGGCAAGGAGCAAAAGATGGGTTTTGTGACAGACTAGTTTGCTTGGCTTAGTTCTAGGAGAGAGGGTAGAACCTTAAAAAAATTAGAAATAGGACATTGGTTAGTTAAATTTTGGTGGTGTGGGAGGCATGACTAGTAGAAATAGGGAGAGGGGGCCTGGGGAGGGACCTAAAACAGAGGATTCTAGTCAACTTCCCCCAAGGAGGAGGAAACACTGACCTTAGGAGTCAGTGGAGAGTGGAAAACACAGGGTCATGAAAGCGTGATAAGAGCCAACTTAGCCTATTCTACAATTTCATCTAGAATTGACTGGCCTTTGATGAAGTGATAACTTTTTAAGTTATGCAATTATTCTAGAGGAGCAGTGTGATAAAAATAGTTGTAATTATTATTATGATTGTTGTAGCTATACCAAAAATTATATTAAACAGCTTCTTTAGTTTTTGTAATATTTCTCCAGTAAAATGAAGATGTCCTTTGGACTTCAAATGGAGCCCATAGAGGGGATGTGATTTGCTCAAAGTCACACACAGATAATGAAGTTTCAGTATACTTGAATTCCAAATGAAGCAAGGTTTCTAGTATCTTGCTAAGTCTTAGGATGGAAAAAGAGCAGGAAATTAAATTGACCACATAGGACTGTAATGCCTGAGCCATAAACATTCAGTTCCTTCAGCCAACCAAGCAGTTCTTGAGGGTTCTATAGTATTATATTTAGAAGTGAAAGTGACCTCAGTACCTGTTGCCTCATAGGGATTATAGGAGAGAAAAAGGGAAAAAATTCTTTTCTCCTTTGCAATCTAGAAAAATATATTCTTTCACCTTTCTGAACCCCTGGGAGAGAATCAAGTTAATTATCAATCATGTAAGACCAAATGAAAGTTTATATATTTGCACAAAAACAGGACTCAGAATCATCAAGACAGATAGTCAAGTAAATTTTATTATCTACCTTGATTACAATGCCTTTGAGTTTTTTTCTCCTCAAAATAGATAAATAAAAATTAGATTTCAATGAAAAATAGCAGATATTTTCCTGTTGGTAAGTTGGTCATGTCAATAACTACTTATTTTCCCAGTGTTTGGTGTATATAGTTAACATTTATATAGCACTTGAGGATTTGCAAAGTGCTTAACACATATTATCTCATTTGATCCTTACAACATCCCATGGGGGTAGATCCTATTGTGATCAACATCCTTTTCACAGAGGAGGAAACTGAGACAGAGATACTTAAGATATATATACATATATATATCTTAAGTATAATACTTAAGTATCTTAAGTGGAATTTGAGTTTAGGTCTTCTTGATTTCAAGTCTCATGCCTCCTAATTGTCACCCTCCATAAACCCAAAATAACCTATGCTTGTACTCATGTGATAGCAGCCTTCTCCTTGATTTCTCTGCAGGTGGCAGTGAAAATTATTGACAAGAAGAGAGCCAAAAAGGACACTTATGTCACAAAAAACCTAAGACGAGAGGGGCAGATCCAGCAAATGATCCGGCACCCCAACATCACTCAACTACTTGATATCTTAGAGACAGAAAATAGCTATTACCTGGTAATGGAGCTGTGTCCTGGTGGCAACCTGATGCACAAAATATATGAGAAAAAAAGACTGGAGGAGCACGAAACTCGCAGATACATCAGGCAGCTTATCTTAGCAGTAGAGCATCTTCATCGGGCAGGAGTAGTCCACAGGTAAGTGCCATCATTGTTATAATTGTTAACTATGATTGATCAAATTAAATAGGTTACATTATTGTTTAAAAGACTTTTGCACTTTAATGTTTTTTAGAAGTTCATTGTAATTCTTTTCCAAAGTTTTGTTTTTATATTACAGTCATTTCTTCTCATAATAGACCCCTCTATTATAAAAGCACAGTTAAACAAGGCTGACCAACACATGACTATGCCTTTTAGTGCATGCAAAATTCCATAACCATTATCCATAACCTCACTGACAAGAGTAGCAAAATATTTACTGGCTCCTTAACTCTGCTTTTAAACACACCTATGTCTCCCCAATTCTGAAAGAAAAAACCTTACTTGATCTAACCATCCCAACTGACTATCATTCTATATCTCTCCTTCCTTTCTCTGATAAATGCTTTGAATAAGCCACCCTCCATTTTCTCATCATTTTCTTTTAAGCCATGTACATTCCACTTTCTAATCTTATTCAACTGAAATTGCTGCCTCTAAAGATACCAATAACCTCTGGTTTTTTTAATTAAAAATTTTTTTAAATAGAGATCAGCCTTCTCTCCCTTCCATCTCTTCTTTTCCTCCTCCCTCACCACCAAGAAAGGAAGAAAACCCAGATCTCCTATTACAAACATGTGTAGTCAAGCAAAATGAATTCCTGCATTGGCTATGACCAAAAAAATTATATTTCAGTCTGCACTCTGAGTCTATCACTTCTCCTTCAGGAAGTTGGTAGCATGTTTTATCATGAGTCTTCTAGAATTGCTGTTGGTCATTATGATGATCAGAATGTCTAAGTTTTTCAAAGTTGCTTGTCTTTGAAATATTGTTATTGTACTAATTATTCTGCTGGCTCTGCTCACTTTACTCTGCATCAGTTCGTACAAGTCTTCCCAGATTTCTCTAAAACTATCCCTTTCATCATTCCTTTCTTTTCTTTTTTAAAAAATTATTTATTTCAAACATTCATTAAAAAATTTTTTTTAAATTCCAAATTTTCTATCTCCCTCCTATAACTTCCCCCACCCATTGAGAAGGTAAACAATGTATTTCTATTATTTCTTAAAGCACAATACTATAGTATCACATTTGTGTAGTGTAACCTGTTCAATCAACTGATGGGCATTTGCTTTCAGTGATCTCTTAATTGCCAAGTCAAATGACTAATTAATTCTTATTCTTCATCCTTCTTGATCTTTCTGTAATTTTTGACACTGTTGATTGTTTTCTACTTCTGGATAGTCTCTCCTCCTTGGGTTTGTATGACTCTTCTCTTTTGGTTCTCCTCCTATCTATCTGACTGGTTCTTATCAGTCTCCTGAGGACCAATTCAAAATGAAAAAGCAGACATTTTATTACGATACAGTAGCAACATCATGGTGTCACCCAAGTCTCTGTCCTGACTTTCTTCTTTTATTCTCTGTACTATCTCATTTGATGATCTTAACTCCCAGGGGTTCAGTTGTCGTCTCTATGCAGATGATTCCCAGTGTCTGTTTCTAGACATAGTCTTTCTTCTGAACTCCATTCCCATATCTCCAGTTTCTCCTTCTAACTGGATGATCCATAGGCATCTCGAGCTCAACATATCTAAAGCTGAAATAATTATTTCTTCCCCTACTTTCCCATTCCTGTTGCATGCACTACTATATTCAGTATGCAGTCTCGGTGTCATTGTCAATTCTTCACCCAAGAGACCTCCTAAGAGTACTGGTCAAAAATCAGTGTGGAACAGGAAATGAGGGTGGCTATGTCCACTCTGACACCAAGGTTTGAGAATTTGTGCAGTGCCCAACAAGTGCACACATCTCATTAGTAAGTTGTTGTTTCATTTTGTTTTTTAGGCAATTGAGGCTAAGTGACTTGCCCAGGGTCACACAGCTAGTAAGTGTCAAGTGTAAGTTGTTGTTGTCTAGTTGTTTCAATTGTATCCAACTCTTCATGACCTCATTTTAAGCTTTTCTTGGCAAAGAAATTTTGATGTTTTGCCATTTCTTTCTGCAACTCATTTTATAGATGAAGAACTGAGGCCAACAGGGTTAAGTGACTTGCTGAGGGTCACACAGCTGGTAAGTGTCTGAGGAGAGATTTGAATTCAGGAAGATGAGTCTTTCTGACTCCAGGTCCAACACTCTATCCACTGTGCTACCCAGCTGCCCTTCATTAGAAAATAATTGTGGTTATTTAAGAAAAATATAATTTTCTTTAAATTTATGTGAATTATTTTTTCAGCTACTAAGTTGTTAAGACTTAGTTTTTTTTAAACTAACCACTTAATAAATATAACTGTTAGGTATTTCTTTTGTCCTAGGAATGCTGTGAAAAAATTACTGAGACACTAAGGGAGCCAAGAACTGAGAAAGTTTGGGAACCTTTTTTCCAATCTATTTCCCCCCACCCCACCCCCTGAGTTTACTTGGGTGAGTTTCAAAACTATGTTAAAAAGCAACAGAACAGACACCTACATACCACCACCCCCAATAAAAGAAAGAAAAACAAAATTACATAACTATATACAAAAGATAATCCTCCCTTCTTGAAGATTACAAATATCAATTGTTCTGCATCTTTAAAAAAAATCAGTGTTTACCATTGATGTGGATTCTTGCCTAAGCTTTTAATTTAACAACCTATAGTTTTTTACATCTGCTTGAAAAACCAGTGTGTCTTTCCATACTATGTGTCATGAAAAGGTCTTGAACAGTAGTAATTTACTTTGAAGGGTGAAGAAGGAAATGTTCTTGACTTAAACTCTCTTTAAAACATTTGGCAACAATTATCTTTCCCCCAAATCTTACCCAAAGACATAGGGCAAGAGTGAAATATCATGTCCCTGAGATAACTTTCCAGAATACCATAAAGCTTGGACACATAAATCTTTAGGAAGGATTATTTTCACTTAGACTAAAGAAAATCTTTTTGTATGGTGTGTGTGTGTGTGTGTGTGTGTGTGACAGATGTTGTGAAACCATGCTTTGCTAGAACTTTTTGAGCCCAGGATATACATGGAAGGGAACATTCAGAAACATTAAGTGATTTATATACTATATTTGATCATGCCAACAATAAATACCTTCATGTGTAGATAGACTAAACACTCATAGCTCTGCCATTATTTAGAAAATGATACACTCTGGGATGTATGGCTTTTTTTTTAATCAAAATAAAAAAACCAGAAACCTCAACTATGAATCAGAGCAAAATTACTAACCTCAGTGGTATTAGAGGAAAATAGAACCAATGGCATTTACACAGGCCTTCTTATTGTCAAAAATGAGACAAACATTAAAAAAAAACTAGTGAAAACTTTGGTGTTCAAATTGGAACCACTCACAGGAAATTCTCAACCTTTTTAGAGTAATTTAAGCACCATTTTATCTGTCTCAAAGCAATTACTGCCAGAATGTCAGAGGAATAGATTTAATAATGTGTTGATAGTGAAAAGAATACTGTCTTTTTCTTTGATTTATATATATATATATATATATATTTATATATATATATATATGCACATATACACACACACATACACACACATAGTGTAATAATGCTAAATGGATTTTTAAAAGTGATGAAACATCAGAAATATTTCTGCAGGTTAGCAAGGAACTTTTATACTTTTCTACCTAAGAGTCATTTTGAAAATACGTTGGATAACACCTTGTCACAGCTATTTAGACATCACTTTCCAAAACTCAGGTTAGAATTGATTATTGGTAGCCTTTGACTTGGTATCTTAGCTTTAATGAGCATATTCCATCATTTTAAGCATAAGTAACCTCACAATGGGTCTAATATTTATAACAGTTCTTTCCTGAAGAAGACAAGTCTCTCCTTTAAATGACAAAGCTTAGCTGGTTTTCACAAATTACTTTAAGATTAGGTTTTTCTACCCAGGAGAAGAAAATGACATACAGAAAGTGGTCTTAATATCTTTGGTGTGATTTGTAAACAAAGTAATTGCATACAAAATGTACTTTGGAATCATGCTTGTAAATATGTGGATAAAAGGATTTGGAGGGCTTTTTAATTGCTTTGTGTTTAAGGGAAAGAATATTGGATTTGGAGTCAATGGCCCAGAGAGTAAGGCCTAGCTTTGGCCCTCATTGATGTGGGACATTGGGCATGTCACATCAGTTTTGTGGCCTCTGCTTCCTTATCTTTAAGATAGGAATGATCGTATTTGCATTACTTGCCATAAAGGTTATTGTGAAGCTCAAATAAGATCATTTATAGAGAGCTTAAAGGTATCTCACCAGTGTCTCACAGGTTTAGTAATTTTTCAGTGGTCATATGGATAGTAAGTTTGAGAGGCAGAATTGACCCTAGGTCTTCATGCCTCCATTCTAACACAATATCTGCTACTATTTGGAACTGCTTCTTAGGTAAATGTATGCCTAATGAACACCTTATGCTTTTGAAACATTTTGTAAATCATAAAATACTTATTATACAAATATGAAGTTTTATTATTTTAGACTTAAGAATGCCTATTACTATTTTATCACTAAATGTTGAACTTAGCCAAGGTTATCATACTGTTAGTTTTTCATTATGTCCAAGTATTAAGGAATCCCTAAACTATTTAAATATGATATAAAAGAAACTTCGATACTTATTATAAATACATACATTAAAAATCTTATTTTTACCATCCTTAATATAGCTACCAGTAGCTACATTTGTGTAGCACTTTCAGGTTTGTAAAGAACTTTACAAATATTATCTCATTTGATCCTCACAACCACCTGGAAGTAGGTGATATTATTATCCCCATGTAACAGTTCAAGAAATTGAGACATTACAGAGGTTAAAGTGACTTGCTCAGGGTCATGTAGCTAGTAAGTGTCTGAAGCTGGATTTGAACTTGGGTCTTCCTGACTCCAATTCCTGTGCTCTATCCCCTCTATCATCTAGTTGGTTCATAGAGAAGTAAAATAAACTGATACGATTCTTAATTTAATGGGATATTGCATTTGGACTTGAGATAAGAA